CTCTGACTTGGTTGGGGCAAGGGAAATATACATAACCTAAACATTTGTACCCCCATAATATGCTGAAATAAAAAAATGTCTATTCAAATATTTTGCCCATTTTCTAATCAGATTGATTTTTTTCTTATTAAGTTGTTTGAGTTCATTATATGTTCTAGTTATTGATCCTTGTGAGATGGGTAGGTTGCAAATATTTTATCCCATTCTGTGGGATGTCTCTTCACTTTGTTGTTTCCTTTGCTGTGCAGAAGCTTTTTAGCTTGATGTGATCCCATTTGTCCAATTTTGCTTTGGCTGCTATGCTTTTGGGGTATTACTCAAGAAATCATTGCCCAGATCAATGTCCTGGAGCATTTCCCCAATATTTCCTTTTAGTAGTTTCATAGTTTCAGGTCTTAGATGTAAATATTTAATCCATTTTTATTTAGTTTTTGTATATGGAAAGAGATAGGGTTCTAGTTTCATTCTTCTGCATATGAATATTCAGTTTTCCCAGCACAATTTATTGAAGAGACTGTCCTTTCCCACCTGTATTTTCTTGGCACTTTTGCTGAAAATGAGTTCACTAGAGATGTGTAGATTTATTTCTGGAGTCTCTATTCTGGTCCACTGGTCTATTTGTCTATTTTTATGCTAATGCCATGCTGTTTTGGTCACTACAGCTCTGTAGTATAATTTGAAGTCAGGTAATCTTAGGGTTTTTTTTTTCAATTTCTGTGAAAAATGTCATTGGTATTTTGATGGGGATTGCGCTGAATCTGTAGATTGCTTTGAGATAGTATGGACATTTTAATAATATCAATTCTTCCAATCCATGAGCATGAAATATCTTTCCTTTTTTGTGTGTGTGTGGCCTCTTCAATGTCTTTCATCCATGTTTTCATTGTAGACATCTTTTACTTCTTTCATTGTGAAGATCTTTCACTTTTTTGGTTAAGTTTATTCCTAGGTATTTTATTTGTAGCTTTTGTAAATGGGATTACTTTCTTGATTCCTTTTTCAGATTGTTCACTGTTGGCATATAGAAAAGCTGATTTTTGTATGTTGATTTATGTATCCTGCAACTTCACTGAATTTTAGAAGTTCTAATAGTTATTTTGTGGTCTTTAGGTTTCTCTAGATATAAGATCGTATCATCTGCAAACAAGGATCATTTGACTTTTTCTTACCAGTTCGGATGCCCTTTTTTTCTTTCTCTTGTCTGATTGCTCTAGCTAGAACTTCCAGTAAGTACTATGTTAAGTAACAGTGGTGAAAGTGAGCATCCTTGTCTTGTTCCAGATCTTAGAGGAAAGGCTTTCAGTTTTTCCGCATTCAGTATGATACTAGCTGTGGGTCTGTCATATATGGCTTTTATTGTGTTGAGGTGTGTTGCTTCTATGACCAGTTTGTTGAGAGTTTTTATCATGAAGGGATGTTGAATTTTATTTCTTTCTCACCATCAATTGAAATGATCATATGGTTTTTATCCATTCTGTTGGTATGATGTATCACGTTGATTTGCATATGTTGAACCATCCTTGCATCTTTGGGATGAATCTCATTTGATCATGATGAATAATCTTCAGTGGGTTGTTGAATTCAATTTGTTAGTATTTTGTTGAAGATTTTTGCATCTGTGTTAACCAGAGATATTGGCCTATAGTTCTCTTTTTGTCGTGTCTTTGTCTGATTTTGGTATCAGGGTGATACAGGCCTTGTTCAATGAGTTTGGAAGTATTCCCTCCTCCTCCATTTTTTGGAATAGTTTAAGTAGGATTGGTATTGGTTCTTCTTTGAATGTTTGGTAGAATGCAGCAGTGAAGCCATTGAGTCCTGAGCTTTTCTTTGATGGGAAATTTTTTTTTTTTTTTTTGAGACAGTCTCGCTTTTTGCCCAGGCTGGAGTGAGTGCCATGGTATCAGCCTAGCTCACAGCAACCTCAAACTCCTGAGCTCAACCGATCCTACTGCCTCAGCCTCCCGAGTGGCTGGGACTACAGGCATGTGCCACCATGCCCGGCTAATTTTTTCTATATATATTAGTTGGCCAATTAATTTCTTTCTATTTATAGTAGAGACAGGGTCTCACTCTTGCTCAGGCTGGTTTTGAACTCCTGACCTTGAGCAATCCGCCCACCTCAGCCTCCCAGAGTGCTAAGATTACAGGCGTGAGCCACCGCGCCCGGCCTGATGGGAGACTTTTTATTACTGCTTCTATCTTGTTACTTGTTATTGGTTTATTCAGGTTTTGGATTTCTTCCTGATTAAATCTTGGTAGGCTGTGTCTAGGAATTTATCTAGGTTTTCCAATTTATTGGCATATAGTTGATATAGTTAGTAGTCTCTAATGATCCTTTGAATTTCTGTAGTATCAGTTGTAATGTCTCCTTTTTCTCTCTGATTTCATTTATTTCAGCCTTCTTTTTTTCTTAGTCTGGCTAAAGGTATGTCAATTTTGTTTATCTGTTTAAAAAATCATTTTGTTTTATTGATCTTTTGTATTTTTTTGGTTTCAATTTCATTTATTTATGCTCTGATCTTTATTATTTCTTCTGCTAATTTTGGGTTGGGTTGGGTATGCTCTTGTTTTTCTAGTTCTTTAAGGTACATTCTTAGATTTTTTATTTGAAGCTTTTCTACTTTATTGATGTAGGCACTTACTGTTATTTTTTCTCTTAGTACTGCTTTTCTGTATATCATAGGTTTTAGTTGTGTTTTCATTTTCATTTGTTTCAAATGTTTTAATTTTTTTTTTTTGAGACAGGGTCATGCTCCATCAACCAGGCTAGAGTGCAGTGGCATCATCATAGTTCACTGCAACCTTAAACTCCTGGGCTCAAACAATCCTCCTGCCTCAGCCTCCTGAGTAGCTGGAACTACAGGAATGTATTCTGCAGCTGTTGGATGAAATATTCTGTAAATATCTATTAGGTCCATTTGGTCTATGGTGCAGATTAAGTCCAATATTTTTGCTGATTTTCTGTCTGAATGATCTGTCCAATGCTGAAAGTAGGGTTCTGAGGTCTCCAAATATTATTGTATTGGGGTCTATCTCTCTCTTTAGCTCTGATAATATTTGCTTTATATATCTGGGTGCTCCAGTGTTGGGTACATATAAATTTAGAGTTATTATATCCTCTTGCAGAATTGACCCCTTTATCATTATATCCTTGTCTCTTTTACAGTTGTCTTAAAATCTATTTTATATGATAGAAGTATAGCTACTCCTGCTCTTTTTTGATTTCTATTTGCATAGAATATCTTTTTCCATCCCTTTATTCTCAGTCTATGTGTGTCTTCATAGGTGAAGTGGGTTTTTTGTAGATGAAGTATAGTTCTGTTTTCTAATTCAGCCACTCTATGTCTTTTGATTGGAGAAATTGTAAGCCTCATGGTAGGCTCAAATCAAAAAACCCTATAACATAAAAAGTGAAAAGCAAGAAATTATAACACACTATCAGAGAAAATCTCATTTACCACAAAGGAAGACAAGAAGGAAGGAAGGTAGAAAGGAAGGAAGGAAAGGAGGGAGGACCACAAAACAGCTAGAAATCAAATAACGTGACAGTAGTAAGTCCTTACCTATCCATAATGTTGAATGTAAATGGACCTTTTTTTTTTTAATCTGGCTCCTTGGATTGAATGGGCTTTTTTTGTTGTTACATTTTAGGAGTCCTCTATATATTATGGATATAAACCCCCTCATCAGATAGGATTTGCAAATGTTTTCTCCCATTTAGTTGGTTGCCTTTTACTCTATTGATTGTGTCCCTTGGCTTATAATTTTTGAAAAACATCTAAAAAATAAAATTTGCATTAGACCTCTGAAGCTCCAGCCTGGGAAGAGTTAAGAACCTCTGTACTGCCCTCTCACCCTCATTCTCCTTTCCCACACTCCCGAGAAGGGCCCAGTGAGTGCAGATACTTCAGTCCTCTCATTTTCTCTTTTATGTAAACCTCAAGAATCTATTCACCACCATACAGAAGACAGTGTAGAGGCACAAGACAAAGGACATATGTAACTAGTTATTTATTAAAGTAAATAAAACCATTTCTGGTGTTTATTATCTAATGCATTGCAGTAAGAGAAATGAATTCTATACCTCATATCTAGGAAAACTGTAAGTTTTCTCCCTGACAGTGATGAAGGTGGGATACGTAATTTCATGAACATTTTTTTACCATGAACTTGAACTGATCTGTAGTAAGAAATTGCCCTTTTTCCTAGTTTTAAACTTAACACAAATTACCTGTTATATAAAATGTGTGAAATTCAGCATGGAAATAAACTATAGGTGAGACCAGGGCCAATTTTTAGCAGAATTCCCTTCTGCATGCCTGAGAGGTAGGAAAACTGTGTACTTATTGAATACCCACAAGCTAACTTGATTTTATTTCTTTCTATGTTGAAGTACCTAATTCAACATATTTGCGCTCTGAATTAGAATTTACACATGTTGCTAGGCTTTTATTAATCACCTTTTACAATATATTCAAGATAGAAAGTTCTCTAAATCTTGGATAAAAGAGATAGAAGACATACAAAAATTATATAGCTACCAAGGAATAAAAAGAAAATTAGTAGAAATTTAGAAAGAAATGTTAGAGGCCAGAGGTAATGGCTCACATCTGTAATCCTAGCACTTGAGGAGGTCAAGGCAGGAGGATTACTTGAGGCCAGTTCAGGGTTCAAGACCAACCTGAGCAAGAGTGAGAACTGCTCTCTATAAAAAATAATTAGCTGGGTATGGTGGTACACAATACTCCCAGCTACTCAGGAGGCTGAGACAGGAGGATCACTTGATCCCAGGAGTTTGAGGTTGCAGTGAGCTATCATGATGCCACTGTACTCTAGCCTGGGCAAGAGAGTGAGTCCCTGCCCTCCCCCCAAAAAAAAGGAAGAAAGAAAGAAATGTGTAAGAAGCTGATTATGGGATTCATCCACTGGACCACACTTCCTCCAAGTAAACTAGAAAGATAACATTGTAAATTGAAAACCAAAGATTCTGAGAAACAAATAGTTTTAAGTGTCAAGAGGTCTTTATTGAAATAATAGCACAGTTACACTTCTAATACCCTTTCTACTTGTATACAATAGATTAAAAATGCTTGCTACATACAGTGCACAAACAGTTCAATTAGAACCAAAACAACTGCATTTGAAATAAATAAAATAGCCTATTTAATAATTTAAAGTAAAATTACTGTACAATATGAAAATAAAGATACATAAATGTTAGGATCTACAATGCCATAGAAATAAAATCATTACTCTGCATTACACAAAACAGTGCAAGAAAAAAAATCCAAATAAGCTTTTGGAGTGCAAAGTTTAAATTTCCCATTTTAAATGATCATGCAGACATAGCATTTCAAGCCATGCTATGGCCTATGACAAAGTTTTTAATTTTTAAGAGGAAAAATGCTAGCCAGTAAATTTACTGTACCATCAAGTGTTGCATCACATAACTGCTGCAGTCCTGCTCCTACGCTGCAGTTTGGAAGGGAGGTATCTTGTTGCATTCAAAAAATTGAAAAACAAGTTTCTGAAGCAAACACATTTACCTTTTAGCCTGAAACAAAATTGTGTGACAAAATAGTGATCATATCCCTGGGTTTAAGAAAAAAGAAAAGGCCTATACCCTTGAACTAAGAAGCAGTTTTCCATTCATCTTTAAACTCCATAATGATCCTCAAGTGAAAATAACCATGTAACTTTTCAGTGACATATAAAATTCTGACCTCTAGAAGATAAGTGATACAATATGGGATTGTGAGAAGAGTAAAAGTAATTTCTGAACACCTATGTTTAATCTGGATAGAACCTGGTTGCATTACATGTAATAATATAGTTGAAGTTCAATGTTTATATAAAACCATTATTTAGGCAGAGACCAAGGAATGCATTTAATACTAAACCGTAAACACATCATCCACCTCGACTTGGAGTGCACACCGATAACATAAGAGCTCTTGCGCAGACTTTGGCAACGAGACTACATATATCAGGTCACAGCAGCACGAGCTCACATGGAAGACTGAAAGCACTGCAGAATAACACCACCCAACACCTCTCAATAGTATACATGGTAAGAAGGGGGCCTCCTCGTGCTAAACCACTTTCCTGGACAGTTTATGTTCTTCAGATTTGTAATTTTTACAACTCAGTAGTCTTAAGTCTGTGTGCTTTCACTGCATAGACTGACACGAGATGTACTCTATCCATTGTAAGTCCAGAGGGTTACAGTTCTGTCTGCAGAAGACGACAGAAAGGAAAGATCTTGGGTGTGCCATCTGCACTGAATCACTTTGTCCTTGTGCTCCCCCACCACCATGATAGGAAGCTGCTTAGTGAGGTCCCCTAAATTAAAGAAGAAAACAGATGTTGATTTACAAAACAAAATAAGTATATGTACAGATTTAACAGATTTCCTGTTACTTTAAGACATTACAGTATAAAAAATCCTAACCTACATTAATACAATACATTGAAAGGTTTACACAGGGACAACTTACTGAACACCTACTCATGTTAGTAGTATTTAGTAACATATACACACAGCAACATTTGACACAGCTGCCACTCTCTCCTTGAAACTTAGCTTGATTTTTCCCTGATTTCAGTGCCATTCCATCTTGGTAGTTTCTCTTCTCTTCCTGACTCTAAAGTTTGGTTAATTCCAGGAGTCAGACTTCAGATTTCTTCAGTTCCCTCTCTACCTAACTTCCTATGAAATTTCACCTAGCACTGTGATCTATATACTTAGGATTCATACACATTTCATCTCCAACCTTGACTTCTTACCTGAGTTGTCGACTAGTATCCAAATAGTCATTTGGCATCTCACTTGATTGCCTGATAGTCATTTTAACATGTCTAAAACCAAACTTAATTTTCTTGCCTTAACCTGTTCCTCCCCTCACTCAGCTTCTTCATCTGTCAATTAATGGCACCATCCGGTTGCTCACGCCAAAAACCTAGGAATCATCGATTTTTTTCCCTCACTCCCCAAATCTAATCCAAACAAATTAAAATATATCCCCAATTGAATCATTTCTTGCTACTAATGCCTTCACCTCTTCCACCTCAGTCCAGGCTACCATCATCTCTCACTATTCCAGTAGCCTCCTCGCTGACATTTATACTCTACTTCTTGACCCCCTTGCAATTCACTCTACCTACAGAACTCACAATTATTTAAAAATATAATTCAGATCATATCACTCCCTGGCTTAAAATTGTCCAAAGGCTTCATGTTATACTTTTTTAAATGCCTATACCTCATCAATTGTAACAAACATACCATTCTGGAAAGGGATGCTGATAATGGAGGAGGCTATGCATGTGTGGGATGGGGGTATATGGGAATTCTCTGTATCTTTCTCTCAATTTTGCTGTTAACCTAAAACTGAGCTTAAAAATAAAGGCCTGTTTTTTTTTTAATGCCTATAAAATACTACCCTGTGTTTTATTCTTCTGTCTGTCTCTCGCCTGGTACACTAATTTCCAGGCACACTGGCTCTTGTAGTCATGAACATGCCAAGTTTGTTCCTACCTCAGCATCTTTACACTTATGCTCTTCTCCTAAGGTCCTGGCCTGGCTTGTTCATTCTCTTCATTCAGGTCTCTGTGCAAACAGCATTTCTCTGGAGAGACCTACTCTAATTATCCTATCTAAAATAGCCTTCCCCTATCCACTTAGTCACTACCTCCTACAACCATGCTATTTTTTTTTTTTTTTTTTTGAGACAGAGTTACACTCTGTTGCCCTGGGTAGAGAGCAGTGGCATGCATCATCATAGCTCACTGCAACCTCAAACTCGTGGGCTCAAGCAATCCTCCTGCCTCAGCCTCCCAAGTAGCTGGGACTACAGGTGTGTGCCATAACACCTGGCTAATTTTTTCTACATTTGGTGAGATGGGTATCTCCCTCTTGCTCAGGCTGGTCTTGAATTCTTTACCTCAAGTGATCCTCCTGCCTTGGCCTTGCAGAGTGCTATGATTACAGACATGAGAGACTATGCCTGGCCTACCATGCTAATTTTTAAAATAGCACTTACTAATACCTAAAATTATTGTTGTTTATTGGTTTACTTTTTATTTATTTATTTTTTTGGTTTACTTTTTATTGACATCTGAAATATAAGCTCCATCAAGGAGGGAGCTGTCTTATTCACCTGTCTGTCCCTAGTTGGTACATAATAAATATTTGCTTAATGAATGTTTAAAAATAAAACTAGATAGAGAAGACCTAATTATATAGACTATATGCTAATGATTTTTTTAAAGTAGATCTAATAAGAATACATAAATCCATCATTTATCTCACAATAGGATATGCTATAACTATAATAAATGTTGATTTTTAAAACATGTTAAAAACTAATAATAAAAATAAGACTATTCATTGTTTAATTATTTGCTAGAATACATCTTAATATAGTCTCAGTAATCTGTCAATAAATAACATAAAATTAAGATTTGAAAATATTATATAGTCAATCACATACGATTAAGAAAAAATAAAGGTCTCAAATATAATAGGAAAGTAAAAACAAAGAGAGTAAAAGCAATCACCTTGTAGGTCTGTCACTTTTATTTTCATATCATAAGAGCCTGTTAGCAAGTAGTGAGCTCCAGGGGAGAATCGAACAGAGCGAACATCACTGGAATGAGGATGATAACTTTGTACCATTCTTCCTCCTCTTATGTCATACAACATGCAGCTAGAATCTTCTTGACCTGTGGCTAAAAGACGGCCACTGGGATCTACAGCTACAGATGCCACAGCACTGCCTATAGGGGGGGAATGAAAGTTGAAATATAAAAAATCAATATACCTAAATTGCAACATAGCTAATTATGTTCACTGAACCATATACTAATGATTTAATGTAGCTTATCAATGCTGTTCAGTTATAGAAAAATCCAAATTAAAAATCAACCAATAAACACTTGTGTCTTTTTTTTTTCCTATAATTTGGTTTTGAAAATGTGTCCTTTTTTTTTTAGGGGGAAGGAATAAAGCAAGATTGTGTAAGGAATGAGAAAATCCATTTTTTATCATTTGAGAGAACCCTGGCATGGTGGCGCATGCCTGTAGTCCCAGCTACTCGGGAGGCTAAGGCAGCAGGATTGCTTGAGCCCAGGAGTTTGAGCTAGGCTGACACCATGGCACTCACTCTAGCCTGGGCAACAAAGCAAGACTCTGTCTCAAAAAAAAAAAAAAGAAAAAAATTAATTTTACTCCTTAAGGGAGGGCACAGTTATGAAAATTAGGTTGAATAACACTGCTGTAGACCAAAGTGGTCTGGGAAGACTTAACAGAAAAATCGGACATTAGATCTTGAAAAACAATAAACAGTGTAAGAGTATGTGTATATACATATATAAATACACATGTACATATGTAATTGAATATTTTCTTGAAATTTTGACAGAGAAGAGGGCTATTATAAACAGGAAGAATTACATGAGAAAATGTTTAGGGGTAAAGTATTAAACAGCTTAAGGACAGGTGGGTCAGTATGGCTGGAGCTATATATATATTTTTTTTTATTTTGTTTTTTTTTTTTTTTGAGACAGAGTCTCGCTTTGTTGCCCAGGCTAGAGTGAGTGCCGTGATTGCCATGGCGTCAGCCTAGCTCACAGCAACCTCAAACTCCTGGGCTCAAGCAATCCTGCTGCCTCAGCCTCCCAAGTAGCTGGGACTACAGGCATGCGCCACCATACCCGGCTAATTTCTTGTATATATATTAGTTGGCCAATTAATTTCTTTCTATTTATAGTAGAGATGGGGTCTCGCTCTTGCTCAGGCTGGTTTCGAACTCCTGACCTCGAGCAATCTGCCCACCTCGGCCTCCCAGAGTGCTAGGATTACAGGCGTGAGCCACCGCGCCCCGCCATGGAGCTATATAGTTTAATAGAAGTTAACATGAAAGCAGCTGGAAGTTGAGATATAAAAGGCATGTTAGGGCCAGACCATCAAGCACCTTAGATCTCAAACTGCAAGAGTTTAAACTTGTTCCTGTAGCTAATGAAGCATCACTTCATGTTTCTGTTTGTTTGGCTTTTTTGAGACAGTCTCACTCTGTTGCCCTGAGTGCTGTGCCTAGCTCATAGCAACCTCAAACTCCTGGGCTCAAGCAATCCTCCTGCCTCAGCCTCCCGAGTAGCTGGGACTACAGACATACCACCACAACAGGCTAAATTTTCTATTTTTGGTAGAGACAGGGTCTTCCTCTTGCTTAGGCTAGTCTCAAACTCCTGACCTCAAGCGATCCTCCCACCTCAGCCTCCTCGAGTGCTAGTATTACAGGTGTGAGCCACCACACCCAGCCCGAATACATAATTTTAATAATGATAAGACTTTAGCGATAGAAAATAATGGTGGGGACCTAATAAGGGCAGTCAGAGAAGGCCACTCTGGCCAGGTGACACTGAAGCTAAGACCTAAGAAGGACCTAACCATGAGAAGATAAGTAGAAGAACATTTCAGGCTAAGGAAATAGCACTGAATTCACTGAAGAGGGGAAGGGCTTGGCATGTTCCAGAAACTGAAAGGAAAAAAGCAAGTGATCTGAGATGAAACTAGAAGGGTACACAATGACAAATTAAGCAGAGTCTTGTAGGCCATGATAAACAGTTTGCACTTCAACCTAAGAGAAATGAAAAGTCATTGAAGTGTTGTAAGTAAGGTATGATATGACTGGATTTGTTTTTCCAAAAGGGTACTCTGACGTCTATGTGGATCACAGACTCGAGAGGGCAAAAGTGAAAGTGCAGAGTATAATAAGGAAGCTATTACAGTGGTTCACTTGAGAGATGGTGGTGGTTTATCCTAGAGTAGTGGCAATAATGAGAAAAAGTAGATGGACTTCAGACAAATTTTTGAGGCAAAAATTCAATCCACAAGCAAAATAGGATTTGCTTGTGGAATGAATACTGGAAGAAAGAAAAGAGGCATCTAGAAAGACTCCAGGGTTTCTGGCATATACAATTCATGGTGGTACCGCTTAGATTAGGAGGTCAGAGGCAGCTTTGTTTATGGGAAGAGGTCATGAATCAGTAGTTTGGTTTAAGACATGTTGCATTTGAGATATAAGATATCCAAAAGGAGACATCAAATAGGTGGGTTAGAATTGTGAGCCTGGCATGTATAGGTTTGGGGCTAGAGATAAAAATTTAAGGTCTTTCAGCATATGAGTTATATTTAAAGCCAGAGAATGGATGCAATCATCTAGAGAAAGAAAAGAGACTACCTACAGTCCTGAGCCCCAGGGAATGCAAGAATTTAGAGGTTGAGCAAAAGAGGAAGAGCCAGCAAAGCAGTAATTATCCAGAAAGTTAAGAGAAGAGTAGAAAGTCCAAAACAAAAGTAGATGAGGTCAACTGTGTTGCATGTCACTGAGAGTTGGAGTAAAATGAGGATATAAAAGTGATTTGAAGGCCAGTGCAGTGGCTCATGCCTGTAATCCTAGCACTTTGGGAGGCCAAATCAGGAGGATTGCTTGAGGCCAGGAGTTCAACACTAGCCAGAGCAAGATCCAGGACCCTGTCTCTACAAAAAATAGAAAAATTAGCTAGGCATGGTGGCACACGCCTATAGTCCCAGCTACTTGGGAAGCTGGCAGCAGCAGGAGGATCACTAGAGCCCAGTAGTTTGAGGTTGCAGTGAGCTATGATGACACCACTGCATGCTAGCCAGTAACACAGAGCAAGACCCTGTCTCAAAAAAAAAAAAAAAAAGTGATTTGACAATTTGCAGTTGTTGATGATCTTGAAAAAGCCAGCATTTGTTAGAATGGTTGTGGCAGGAACCAGGTTGGAGTAGGTTAAAGACTAAGGTGAGGAAATGAGTATCAGTATACATAGGAAAGACTTTTGAGACATCTGAGTAAGAAAGGGAGCAAAAATTGAGGTGAGAGCTGGGCAGAGGATAGGAGGTTAAGAGAGTAACTTTTGGCATTGCCAATTCTATAAAATTTGCCTTGTGCATTCTTTTTACGTTCGTGGTCCTTTTTCTACACTTTGATTCAAACCAGATATGATTTCTTACAGCAAATTTGAGTCTCTACATAGAAAAGGAGGAGGAGAGATCAGTAACTTTTTCATGTGCCTTTCCAACTCCCATCATTCCTCAATCAAATATATTCTTCCTCTCTCCACATCTTTTAAATATTTTTATATCCATTTTGGTTAGATAAGTAGCCATTGTCTACAATATACTAACAAGTATATTGTTAGTACAATATACTAACAAGGGCAATACTATTTTTCTTTAAAAGACTTATTGATCCATTTGGTTCTTTAAACTTACATATTAATTTTGATTATGATACAAACTAAACTTTAGTAAATCAATCATGATGGACTCAAATTTGCTGTAACAAATCATATCTGGTTTGATAAAAGTAGAAAAGGTTCATGAATGTAAAAAGAATACATAAGGCATAAAAACATACAGACACACAGATAATTAAAAATATAATGTAGCCTTTTTCACTTGGAATAGTGCCATAGAATTGCTATTAAAAACTACAAGCGCAAGTGGAAGGCCAAGGCTGGCAGGAGGATCACTTGAAAGTAGGAGTTCAAGACCATCCTGAGCAACATAGCAAGACCCCATCTATACAAAAAATAAAAAAGTTAGCAGGGCATGGCAGCATGTACCTGTAATCCCAGCTACTCGTGAAACTGAGGCAGAAGGATCACTTGAGCTTAGGACTTTGAGATTACAGTGAACTAGGATCATGTCACTGCACTCTAGCTCAGGGAACAGAGTGAGACCCTGTCTCAAAAAAACAAAACAAAACAAAAAAAACTACCAAGGCAGAAAAGGTACTCTAAAATAAAGACAATGGCAGAATACTGTGTCACTCTTCGATATCAGTGTTTTTAAAGGTGATATAATACAAAGAACAATAGCCTGGAATGGAATTACAAGAATTACATGGAATAATCCAAGACTTATTAAGTTTAAAAAGCAAGATTTGTATTATATGCTACCATCTGTATGTGTGTGATTCGTGCATTTGTGTTTACGGGAAAAGGAAGATTATTATATATATATAAACTTTTTGGTTATATATTTATAGAATATTTCTAGAAGAATAAGAAACTGGTCTTTTTAGTGAAAGAACCAAGGAATAGGAATGGAAAGAAAACAGTAAACTCTTTTGTTTAATTTCAATTTTTGCCATATGCATGCATTTTAAAAAATGTTTTTAAAGGTCTGAATTCTAAAACGGCCCTGCTAACAGATAATTTGGAATATTATATTAATTTCTCTGGGCCTTGGTTTCCTAAGCTGAATATTATTTTTACAAATAAAGTTAACAGATGGAAGCATTTTGAAAGAAGTGAAAGTAATCAATAAAATACCAAGTATTTATTTCATTATTTTTTCTAATTTTTTTTTTTAACCACAGGGGAGAGGAAATAGGCTAGTGTAATTCATAAAGTTTCTTTCTAATATAAATTCATTTAAAGAACAACCTACCAGTTCCGTGAAATGTTGTGCCAACAACACGAACACAACTTGGTACTCGAAGATCCCAGAATCTAACAGTCTTATCTTGGGAACCAGATGCAATCATCCAGCCACTCCAGGTATAAAGTGCTAAAATATGCCCTATAAGAGATCAGATACTCAGTTATCACCATAGGAAAATACCTTTCCATAACATATTCAAAGCTAAACACTTCTTATTACTAGGCAAGTGATAGTCTGGTTAATCAAATATACTATGTGATAGAGATTTTCTACATATATCAAATAGATTAACAATTTTCAAAAAAATGAAAATTCAGTGAAATACACATCAAAACCACACTGAACAAATTCAGTCTTTCTTTAGTGACTCCGTTAGTACAGTAGGCTCTTTCAGTATTTGAGGACATAATGATTAGCACTGAAAAAAAAAATTATCATTATCATTTGAAATTCTGGCAACTTTTCCATGGAAGAAGCACAGGATTGTGGGGTTAGATTACCAGCTTTTGCTTTTGGTTTTTTTTTCCAGACAGAGTCTCGCTCTGTTGCCCGGGCTAGGCTAGAGTGCTGCGGCGTCAGCCTAGCTCACAGCAACCTCAAACTTCTGGGCTCAAGCGATCCTCCTGCCTCAGCCTCCCAAGTAGCTGGGACTACAGGCATGCACCACCATGCCTGGCTAATTTTTTTCTATATATTTTTAGTTGTCCAGCTAATTTCTTTCTATTTTTTAGTAGAGACAGGGTCTCGCTCTTGCTCAGGCTGGTCTCAAACTCCTGAGCTCAAATGATCCACCTGCCTCAGCCGCCCAGAGTGCTAGGATTACAGGCGTGAGCCACTGGGTCCGGTCTTTGAAGAAGCAGCTTTTGAAGAAGCAAACCTGGCATAATATCTTCATTTGACAACTTATTAACCTTAAGATATTGGACAAGTCATTTTATCCTTTCATCCTATAAAATGGGGATAAAACTTCCTACCTCATAAAATGGTTGTGAGAATTATATTAAGGAATTATGTGTATAAGGATTTAGCACATAGGGAAATATCATGGTTAGCTGTCATTGTTATAGTGGTGTTATCCAAAGTTCACAATTTCTTTAAAAAAAAAAAAGGGTCTCCCAGGCTGGAGTGCAGTGGCCTGATCATAGCTCATTGCAGCCTCAAACTCCTGGGCTCAAGCAATCCTCCTGCCTCAGCCTTCCAAGTAGCTAGGATTACAGGCACACGCCAACATGCCTAGATAATTTTTAAAACATTTTTTTGTAGAGACGGGGGTTTCACTGTGTTGGTCATGTTGGTCTTGATCTCCTGGCCTCAAGTGATCCTCTTACCTCAGCCTCCAAAAGTGCTAGGATTACAGGTGTGAGCCACCGTACCCAGCCTCACAATTTCAATTTTAGAAATAAAAATTTCCTGTCTTGAAAAGATACATATTGATGAAATATACCCTATAAATCAAAATGCAGAGAGAAAAAACAGCACAGGTTGAACAAAAAGAAAAGCAACACTTGAGATTGATATTACATACCAGTATGTCCACTCAAAGCATGGAGGCCTTGTCCTCTTTGACAATCTGTTGTATAAATGTTACAATCCCCCGCTCCAGCACTTATTAAAATAGCTCCACCACTTTCTGGGCCTTCCATAAAGGCCAAGTCTCTAATTGTCCCATCATGCATACTAAACTCCAGATCTGGTCCTGAAACAGCAATAAGAATTAAAAAAAAAAAAAAAAATTCTGCTCAACTTACTGTGATAACTTGAGATTGCTAAACTGCCTCAAAACTGGTTAAGAATAACAGTGTAGTGGTATGATTTATATTTTCATATAGGGATTGATATTGTATGCAATTTTGCTTTCCTGGGCAAAGAACTTCAAGAAATCAAAATAGTTATTACCATCCCTAAATCAGAGTTAATTTATACAGTTACCTTCTTGTCTTTTATCCCAAAGAAAAAGAAAGACAACTGATTGCTAGAAAATATCCATTCATACAATTTTGGTAGTTATTTAAGTTATTTTTCTGATAATTTTCTAAAGCTCAGACATTACCTGGCCACCTGTAAGGATTTACTAAAAAAGAATAATGCCTCATGAATGTAACTGAACGATTAGAATGTAAAGAAAAATTCTTTAAGATTCTTAGATTTCATTAAAGACAATACAGAGACACAACATGGAGAAAACATAAGGTGTGCACTGGTCAGCTAACTGCTGCTTACAAACTTGGGCCCTACCTGTTGCATTACAAGTCTCTGCATTGAAGGGCAGCACTTTGACGTATTTGTCATTTGATCCTGTTGCTAATAACTGTCCACAAGGGCTCCAGGCCACACAGTAAATGGATCCTTTATGATGTTTATTCCTTTTAAAACGTACCACTGGCTGCTTAGGAGTGTCATGTACACTGAAAAAAAAATTACAGAAAGTTATTTCAATTTCTTGCTTGCTAAAATTAGTTAATATGAAGTTTTACATTATGGTTGTTCTTAAGGGAAGGAGAAAAAGAATATCAGACAACAGGTTATTAACAGTTTTCAAAATCACAGAAGTAGTAAAATGAAAAGCATATTTATATGTCTATAAAGGAAACTTGTTCCACATACCCCAATGTCATTATTACACAGAACTAAATTAACAATAGTTTCCTAATATCATTTAATAACATGCAAATTTCCCAAATTTGAACATCTTTTTACCGTTGATTCATTCATAGCAGTAGCCAATCATGGCTCATACACTTTATTTAAGACAATATGGTTTTGATATGGCTTTCTCTACCATAAAAAATAAAAGCATGTTTAAAGTCCACAAAGTGAAATTATAAACCATTACATGATAATAAACTAACTCTCATTTCAGATTACATAGGGAACAGGATATATGACTTCTTAAAAATCTCCATTTTTCATGGATTTTAAACTTGGAAACAAAAAGAAAAAAATAAAAGAGAGTTAATGCTTCCAAATTTTAAAGATCCAATAAATATTTATCAACACATAAGAAGCAATGTGCCTAGGGTTGAGGGGAGATGTATAATGGATAAAAAGTAAAGGAGGCAAGATCTTTGTCCAGAGTTTAAAATCTGGTACAAGTAGACATTGTCATGACTACCCATATACAGTAAGGCAAGTATAAACTGTTATAGTCCAGTATAAAGTACTGGGCCATAACAGATAAGGAGAATTTTACAGAAAAAGTTAAAAGGCAGGAGAACAGCTTTAGTGAAAATAAAATATAGTAGGGAAAGTACTGGCTGGCATGCAGCCTGGGAAAGAGTCTGTGGGGCTGGAGATGATAAATGTGAGATATTCAGTAGATTGCAAGGGATGGACATGGTGAGTGATGCTCCAGAGGCTCAGCTGGTGGAGGTTTCTAAATGTCACACTCCTCAAGAGTTTGGCTTTTTTTTTTTTTTTTTTTTTTTTGAGACAGAGTCTCGCTTTGTTGCCCAGGCTAGAGTGAGTGCCGTGGCCTCAGCCCTAGCTCACCCAGCAAACCTCCCAAACTCCTGGGCTCAACAATCCGTCGCCCAGCCTCTCCGAGTAGCTGGGACTACAGGCCATCACCACCATGCCTCGGCTAATATTGTTTTTAATATACATATATAACTATAGTTGCCCAAATTAATTCTTTCTATTTATATAGAGACGGGGTTCTCCGCCTTGCTCCAGGCTGGTTTCGAATCCTGACCTCGAAGCAATCCGCCACGCCTCGGCCCCTCCCAAAAGAGCTGGATTACAGGCGGAGGCCCACCGCGCCGCCCAAGAGTTGGCTTTTAATGGTGGTCAAACATTGGTTTTGTGCAGTATTAGCGTCTTAGTGAAGTAATAGCATCTTATCTGCACTTTAAAATGCAGACTAATATGATACTAATGTTTTTCAAATCAGGTACAATGATAAAAACAAGTCTATGATAAGAAAACGTACATATTCTGGAGATTCATCCTGGAGGATGAAAGTGTAAAATGACATGATATCTAGGATTTACTTTAAAATACTTTAGCAAACAAAGAAGATCAATGAAACAAATGTGACAAAAATCTTTCTTTTTTGGCTTGGCGCGGTGGCTCATACCTGTAATCCTAGCACTCTGGGAGGCCAAGGTGGGCGGATTGCTCAAGGTCAGGAGTTCAAAACCAGCCTGAGCAAGAGCGAGACCC